GGACTTTTACACACAAAGTATTATTTTTTTTCTCCTACTTTTAGGTGGAGTAATGCTGCAAATTAATAAACTACCCAAAATGCTATAGTTTCATGTTAGCAATGAAATTAAATGTAATATAATTATTTGTATATTTTCACAACATAGCATTGTCATATAAAGTAAATATTTTTATTTTCTTTCTGCAGGATAATGCTACATATATAAACATGTTTTTATCTTTATTATCAGTTAAAGTAAAACTGATCTTTTAAATGTCTCTAAAAAAATTTAGGTTTTTCACATCATGTTTTATTTTATTTTTTTATCACCATTATAGTGAAAATGTACAAACTTCATACAATTACTGACAAGTGTCTGCCTCTAAATACATTTAATTTAACATTTTTCTTTTAATGTTGTGCTGTTATGTTTGGTGCATAAAATGCAAACCGACTTCCTTCAAACAAACAAAACTAAACGATAATTTTGACTTTACACTAGATTAGACACTTCTCCCTAATGCTAATACCAATGATTCAAGATGTAAAAGCTTTAATGTTTTTGAAGAATCAAAAGGAATAATCAAAATTAACATTCAAGGATATCGATCTTTAACTCAGTCAACAGCTCTGGTTCAGAGCTGGGTTTTGTAGCTGTGTCCACCTAAAAGAAAAAAAATAAAACGTCAGAAAATGAGCTCTAAAGCAAGATGAGAGGAACAATGAGAAACATCCGGTGCGCTAATGAAATACAATAACTCACTTCCCACAACAGAAGCGAGGCCTGCTGCTCCGAGCTTTACAGCTGGTGATGCATTAATGAATCCACCACACATTTAAACACACACACACACACACACACACACACACACACACTGGGGTTTTTGCTTGTTGACTGCATTTGTCCTGCACGTTAATCGTAATTTATAAATCTCCTCCGAATGCCTGAAGGCCTCCCGTCCTGAGTGTCTCCTGTGGTGTTTCTAGCTGTGACACTTAAATCACATCTTTAGTGTTTTGCGTTCCTTGCACGTGATGGTCTGTTTATGTAACACATGTATTCCCAGTCCCTAATCACTAAAATTATTGCTATATTTTATAATTCATAACCCCTCAAATTAAAGCAAATACTACTTACTTTGTTTGAAATTTGAAAAAAATGACATAAATCAGGGGTGTGAGCGAGGCCGATGATGTGTGCAGGCAGAGAAAAAACAGACCTCCATGAAGACGAATGAGAAGAGTGTATCCTGTTAAAGTCAATAATATTGACCCGCGCTCCAAGATGCGTGTGTATTATGTAATCTACAACTTCATGAAGGGAGCGTGTTTCACCTCAAGGACTAACAGGGTGCTGATGACACATCGACGGCACCGAACAGAAGAAATCTGCAGCCGTTTGATAGAAGCTGTTCCATGAAACAGAGCTTCAGTGTTTTTGATGAGTCCTATATGTTTCAATACAAATATAGAAACTACATGTGTGATTACAAAGTCAATGAGTATTATTGATTTCCTGATGGATCATTAAATCTGCTGGGTGAAATGAATGTCAGATTAAGATTTTGTCACTGGTTATTTTTATCATTGGTCATTGTCAATTGATTGACTATATTAATTTGTCTCATGTCGTTCGGTTACCAGAATTGCTTTTAAAGAATCTTGAAGAAAATTATTAGATGCACATCTTTAACAAAAATGGCTGAATTTGACAAGTGCAAAATCAAGACGTTAAGGTGGAAAATTGCTGCGAATCTATTTCAAAGAGAACATGTGAGACAAGAATAAACATCTGGATCAAACAGGACCAAAGCACTGCGCTCAAACACACCTTTTTTTGTAAAGTTGATCATATTGTTTTTAAACTTTTGACGGTGTAAAGTTTGTCAAATCATAGTTTATCTCTAGTCTGTTATGCACCGAGTTTGTTTCAGTTTAGATCGCAAACTTAACAAATTTGAGCGTAAATATATCACAACATCAAAGTTACCAAATGTCCAATCCTAAATGGGTCTTCCATGGATATCAACGTTGTTGACAAATTTTCAGTCACTGTATTTTTAAACGTAGTGGTTGGCATCCTGTCACAAACTTCACTATTCTTTAAGGAAATATTGTGCAAATTTTAATTTAGTTGACCAATTTTTGTGACTTACGGATCCTTAACTTTTGAGCAAGACCTATTTAAAAATAAAAAAAATAATGATTGCCATTACCTATTTGAAGTCAACTCAAATATCTCAAACTACCAGGCCAATTTTATTTAAAGTTAAGCAATAAAAAGTGAATGTACTTCTAGAACTATTTAACTTAGACCCGATTCAAGATGGCCGCTACAGCTAGCTTACTTTAGAAAACACATTTCTCTACATAACATGAATTTATTTTAAAATTATTCTTTGTTGAGAAACCTGAACACATCAGGTAAAAAACATAATAAATCATGAGTCTTTATTTGAAATGATAAGTGCAATATATTTTATTTTGATTTACTCAGTCATTTCTAACCCTTTTAGTTTGATAAACATTTCAGGCTTGGCGTGTTTTATGCCTCGGCCCATCATCAGAACTCATTTGATCCTGTTTGCTCCTTCGCCTCTCAGTGGTTCCGATTCTTACGTCCGTCCTCATCCATCTCCCTTCTTCCTCGGCCACATTCCTGCCTTTTGTGTGTGCCCATTCCCTCTGGAATTCAGGAGGTGTCGGCGGGGGAGGGATGGGACAGGAAGGCAGAGGAGAGGTGGGCATTGAGTGACAGGATGGTGCAGAGGCTGTTATGGAGGCCAGAGCTCAGCAGAAACAGGGAGGGAGAAGAATCCAAAGAGGGAGTTAAGCTGAAGGCAGAAATGAGGAGGAAGTCAAGTAAAGGGGGAGGTGTGTCTCAGTGTGTGACTCATTAGATTAGACCGCTCCCCAAGGGAACCGCCAATATTGATGGATTGATTGCAGGCCCCTCTCCATCCACTCGGTTCTCCTGCTACTGGAGGCCATTGATGTGGTGTCTCTTTGGGATATGATGCACAGTGCATATTTAATTAACTTTCCATTACAACCAATCAACATTCAGACCCGGGCTTTACAGAAAAGCTGAGTTTTTAGCAGCAAAGGTTAAATGACATGTTTATTCCTGAGGGAGTGGGGTAGGGAGTTTGTTCAACCTTGATAAGCGCTAATCTAGTATTTTATTTATTTTAATGGGTACTAAAATGAGGTAAAATTCAGGTTTTCTAAGCTTGAGTTTTCTTATATTCCACGCGAGGAAAAACTGACAAATGGGCTGAATTGAAACAACGGAGCAATAAAAGGTTTCGTCTGTGTACAACATATGTCCTTTAATGTTAAAACTGCCCAGAGAGGATATTGATCCAGTTTTGCCTTCTTTAGTTTCTGTTTTCCCCCTCTAGTGGTGTTTTGAAAGAGAAAAGCTCTCCGGGGTGTTGAGATTGTGAGCCTCCTGGTAACTCATGCATATGGATGACTCGTTTAGCATTCATGACTGTTTTTCCTTCTTTTTTTTAAATTAGCCCTGTGTTTGTGGCAACGTAGAACGGAAATGTATGAAAATGGAAATGTATGGCAAGTCTGTTTGTGATTTGGTTTATCATTCTTTTTAAATTTATTTTAACTTACATGCATCTTTAATACACAAACTTGTTTTTCCTTGGAAGAGGGGCACTGATTAAGGTGGAACCTCACTGGGCTGTAATCGAACAACATTCATGGTGGAGTCTCTAAAAGGTCTTACGATTTATCTGGAGGTTCTCATATGAAGTCTTGTCACTTAAATTTTGAACATGTTCAAAAATGGTTGTGCAACAGATTTTCTCTGAGCTATCCAGGGTGGGTGTTTCAAGCCCAGCTCGATCGTTGAAGCTGTCTTGTACCTCCCCTCTGGCAGCCTGCTGTGGCCGGTACAAACCAGCCAAGGCTGGTTAGGTGTGGATGGAGGTGGACTACCAAATAATGTTTGGGGTCAGGAATGTAGTTTTATAAAGCGCGTGCACAAAGTGGGGCTATAAGTTTTACGATGTATTAGCCACTTGGTTGCAAACACTCAATCCAGTCAGACTAAGTGTTCACAAATAAATCATCAGCCGATTTATTTAATCAGATTTCTTTAATTTTGGGTGATCAGCTGATACTTGCATGATAAGCTGATCACATCCACTGATCTTATCTACCTCAGTGTAGATCTGAAAATCAGCCACTGTCCCCTTTTACTCTGCTGTGAGAGAGGGCTGTTCAGTTAAAACATGTTGGTATTGTTTCAATGGTTCAGTGTTTTTCAATAAAATAAGAATGGAACATTGGAGGTGTATTGTTACCTTTATAACACCTCACAATGTTGGTTATAAAAAAATTTGGTATCTGCCAAAATCAGAATTGTCTGGCTTTTTAAAGCTCAATGATCAGCCAGAAAACTAAGTGAGGCGACAACGACTTCTATATTTTCTCTCAATTTGGAGTCTCCAACTAATCTCCCAACAATTGAAGCCCAACAGTGTTCCTAAACTGAGTCCTATAAGATTTATATCACTAAGAATTATCATACGTATGACATAACAAATGTAAGCTTATTGCAGGGGATTAAAAACACTCAGCATAGTAACTGCTCAATCTTGCTCAAGTAAATAAGAATATTGGTAAAACATGAGGTGTGGAAGGTGAGAACAACTTAAAATAAGGAATGTCTGAGCAACTCTGAGGTGCCACAAGTATCATAGTTTTTGTTGTCTTTAAAAATCTAAAAAAATGTGAGCTTTTGTCTCTTTTTCATTAAGGCTGTGAGTTTCTGTCTTGTGAGCATTTCATGCACCCTCTAAACCAGCCTCAAATACTCTTACCTGTACTCTGATATCACCTCTTTGATGTACCAACGCATTAATGACTTTGTATTGGTACTCCATATTGGCAAGTATCCAAACTGAAATACTTGAACTAGCATTGGGATATCACTACTTTATATGCTTCCAAATGCAAATACAGTTTTTCAAATTAGTTTATTTTTTTTCACTTCAGGTGTTTCTCTTCTTCTGTGAAACCTGCTCGGTGCCGATCTGCAGGGAGTGCAGCGCGGGTCGCCACATGGGCCACACTTTTGTTTACCTGCAGGACGCTGTGCAGGACTGCCGGGCCATCACCATCCAGCTGCTGGCAGATGCGCAGCAGGGACGACAGGCCGTCCAGGTGAGAAGAAACCAGAACGGGATCGTTTTATTTTGTCCCATCAGGAAGTAAACAAAAATAAAACAACTGCAATTTAAGTGTTAGCATTTCATTGGAGCAACGCCTGAATAATTTATTGTTTCTAACTCCTATCGACTAAAATTAATCCTTAACAAATCAAAGAACTCGTATTTTAAAGGCGGTCTTCATAAAGATTAGAGCTCACGAATACAGACTCCATTTCATCTAGAACCTGAGGCGAGCAGCTGTTTCTTTAGAGTTTTCCTCTCAGCAGCTCAGAGCGAGCTGCTATTAGCGCCAATCAGCTTAGATCTGTTTGAGAGTGACCAGTCCCGAGCTGCTGGGAAGCCCGGGGTTAAAGGTGTCCAGCTGGCCCCTAAAACAGGGGGTGTGTCGCATGTGTTGCATTCCGGCGGGGGCAGGGCTCAGGGTCAAAGGGGAGGAGGAGTCTAGCAGGCGGGGTGGGGGAGGGGATGGAGAGGTATTTAAAGGATTTCAGAGAAAGGAAAAATACCCTCTTCTTTTAAAGACGTGGACGCCTCGCCCTTCCCCTTTTCACTCATTGGCTCACACCCCCAATCCTTACAATTCCCTCACACAGTGCTTTGTCTTCTCTCATTTACATAATTGTAGTTTAGGTTGCAGCTAAAAACCGTCTTTGCATTTCATTTTTATCAGCAAATGCACATGTAAGTTGGAGAAAAAAATGGGTGTAAATGCTGTATTTGGTAAGAAAAATCAAAAGGAACGTAGGGAATTTAATGTGTTTCAATTAAACTCTTATTAAAAATAAATGAACATTAAGAAAATGTCACAGTTCTGTCCTTAATTTCACATTTTCATCTTTGGCTTCTATTATTGTAGTTTTCATTTTGATCAATATCCATTCAAGCAAATTTAAAAATCACAAAGCTAAAAAATGTTTTTTTTTTTAAGCCAAAAGCAGATTGTTGTGTTTAAGATTTAAAATGTTGGTTTTATTTTGTTAAAGCAGATGTTTGTATGACCACTTAAAGTGGATAAAAAGCTGCAATAAAAACAGAAACAGATTGATATAAAGTTCTAAAATATAAAAAATTAGTTTTTTGACACAAACACTCAACCTTATGTTCATACTTAAGAATTTTTTCCATACATTTAAACATTTTGCTTTAAAGTAGGGTTACCGCTGATCAGTATTTTAGTAATCTTAATATCTTATCTTAATCTGGCCAATAATCCACCAACTGAGTGAGCTGATAAACATACAGTACATCAGTGGTTCACATGCTTTCTTTTTTTTAGAAACTTCCTGAATACCTACAATAAAAGCTGTAAATCCCCTGTACACCATTAAAACTACACATGCCTTCATATATTAGAGGACAAAAAAGGTCAATTCAATTCTTATTTATAATTTTTTTCCAGAATGTTTTTATTTTCATTAAAAAAAACGTCGCCTGAATCCTGCATTCCTTTGTCCAGAGACGAGCTCTCAGGATGTTTGTCTCCGTCTGTCACGGCTTTTGTTTTTATTGTTCACCTCAATAAAGTCTCTGACAGGTACGTCCAGCTAAATTGGAATTACCTGAAACTCTGTTTGACCTGATTGCAACATCCTGACCTTTGCCTGCCTGAAACCTCGTCTGTTTCCCTGGAAATATTTCTTTGACACTGAATCAGTTTGAAAGTGGGTGAGCTCCTCGTCAGAGCGGGGATAATGGTCCTCTCTGCTGGAAACGCAGACGTCCAACAACTGAAGATTATTTTTATAAAAATGTGTCAGTGTCTGTAAAACGCCTGTTCCCTACTGGCAAAGATTATTATACCTAATTTATTCTCACAGCATAAAATCGCACAGAGCCACTTAACTTTGTCGTGCACTTTAGATCTTTCAGTTTTTACTCCATAAAGTAAAGAAACCTTTTTGTTTCTCTTATTTCCTCCTCGTTATTTACCTTGTTCCTCTATTGCACAAAACCTAAAGTAAGCATATTGTGCAACAACAACTGTGACCACTGAGGAGTATGTCATTGTGTGATTTCAACAAAGCAACAAATTAAATATATTTTGTCTCAAGGATCTATTTGCAGTTGAGTTTTTGAAGTTTTTTAGTTTCAACCTAAATATATGCTGTACAAAATACAAATATATTACTGTATTTATATGAAAACTCTCAGAAGTAGGCCTGTCACGATAACAAATTTTGCTGGACATTATTGCGATAAACCATAATTTTAAACGGATACCACACACTTAGGAAACTCACGGAAGTTTTACGAAATCTACGTTCATAAAAAAAGTTATAGACTGACCTGGACTAGAGTTTGTGAAAACAGCTACTGAATCTGTAACATCTCTACCCTCCTCTGTCCCAGCCAGAACTATTTATTCGTCTTCCTTTTGCTTTATAAAACCTTTTGTTATCCCACATGCTGCTTACGAAAGTAACGAAACTTGCGTAGTGTCAAAAAAACAACTCTTGACGAAGCTGAGGTTCGGCATGGTGGCCTGAAGGCATCCTGAGGCGTCGCCAGCTGAAAGAAGGCGTTGGAAAACCGAAGACGCTCCTCTAGCTAAATGCCTGTTAACAAGGCTCTCATGCTACAGAGGATAGAGACCATACACCTGGAAAATACCTGATGTGAGAGTTCACTCCTCCTTTCGCTAAAGAGTAGAAAAGGAGATGCAAAGAAAACAAGCAGGCAAATGAAAATGATCAACCTCATTTAAATTCATCATGTGATTAATTGATTTATTGCCAATCATAACAGGCCTAAGTAGAAGCATATTTATTGTTAAATACATTAAACAGGAAAAAGCTATTTTAAAATCAGACAAGCTGAGTCATCAGGGCTGGGTTCGACGCTCCAGTGTTATCTCATTTGCCTGGAAGGCGAGGCAGAGTTGTGACCTTGGTAAATACTTGCCTAAAACATGAAACTCTAGCTGCTTCACTGAGATCATATGACACTCTGGCATGTATTATCTCCTTCACCAAGCATGCGCCCCACCTATCCATTTCTTAGCCTGACCTTTTGTCTGGATGGGTCAAACTTGGTATCGTAATGTCTGATTACTTATGTCAGGCCGAGGGCTGTTGGATTGTTCAGAAATTCCAAGATATCGCAGCACAGATGTTGCGGCGAAGAGTTGAACATCAGCGCAATCGACGTGCTTATAATTTATTAAATGAGCTGAACAGGAAGCACGCTGGTGAGTCTGTGGACTCGCCGCCCACCATATGGCAGCACCTTGTGCTGTTTGGCGTGTTTGTCCACTTTCGTCCGGGCTGCCGCAGGAGTGAGTGCTGACGCCAGATAATATGTAAACACACACAGACATACACGTTGCACACACGCTCCTGTCCCCTGAGGGAGAAAATTTCCGTCCACTCTACACCCATTATCTCTGCTGACCCCTCACCCTGGACTTGTGACCTTCTGGTTGGTCAGAGCTTCTTTGCCTTTGTGTTTTGATTGGTTCGTTGGACTGGCTTTGTGCTCCAAGCTGTGCTCCTGTGGAGGGGTGTGTTCGTGGGGGTGGAGAGAAATGCGGAAGACGATGGAGACACTGAGACTGGGAGCAGGAGACGGAGATGAAGACAGAAGATGATGTGTGAGAAAGGTTAAAAGGAGACTCGACGCTTATGAAGAAGGCACTAGGAAAGATTACAGGAAGAAGTCAATAATGGACAATAATTAACAGAATAACTTTGGGTGAAGAGAAAATAAAAAGCATCAATAAGAAAATTCAGAAAATGCTAACTATCTTATAATCGTCCTTTTTTTGGGTCACGGTCCTCATCATCCCTCTCTGGAGGTGTAATTTAGTTGTTCCTTTAGCCGGCCATCTCGCACACCCAGGCCATAGAAAAGAGACCCTGCTGCCAGGCTTTGTTCCAGTTGGGGTGTGATGGGGGGGTGGGTCGTATGTGTCTTAAGACGAGGATTGCGGCTCACGACCTGTAGAGGTTTAGCTGACCTTTGATCTTTGTGGCAGATACGACAAAGGAAGCCTTATCCCACCGCCCCCTTCGTCCTTGTGAGGTCCAGTTCAGCCTGTGACCTCCCAGAAAACACCAGAAGAAAAGCCTGATAAAACTCTGTAGGCAGAGGGAGACAAAGAGAAAAGTACTTATTTAGGCCAAATTGTACGTCGTAAAGGCGAAGACCTTCATTTTACACCGGAGTTTTATTACTTCAGGTAGTAATAAAACTGGTCTCCTCTTGTTGTTGTTTGCACTCTGTCAGGAAAGGTTATTTACTACAGCCCTGTAAAATTAAAATAGATACTGTAAAATATATTCTCTTCTAATAAAATGTAACTTTTGGAAGAATTTCATTCAGCTGCAATAAACATAAAGGGATCCATGATTAGTTGTAACATTAAACTTTTATATGATAAACATATCTTTTAACTGTAAAATAAAGACTGTAAAAATACTGTAGGATGTTTAGTTTTTATCATTTTTAAACTAAAACTTAAAAAATATATTACACGGACAGGGCCATTTTATTTACACACAAAGCATTCTGGGTAAATGATGACGTGGGTAGGTCATCATTGCGAGGCTGCTAGCGAGCTATATCCACCCTGAAGGTTAATCTGGGACAATATCTGATGATTGACTTTTAAATGAAACCAGAGAGTGTTGACAGAGAGGAGAAGGTAGAAATGACTCAGCCTGTAACTGAAAATATGGATGGAGGACAACAGAGCTGCTTCATGGAAGAACCTCAGCTTAGTCTGTTAGCTTTAGCATTAGCCCCGACGCTGTCACCATATATATGTATTAGCTCAGCGCTACACATTCTCCTCTCATCACTGAGGTCCTCCATCCACATGACAGAGAGGGGAACACAAAAATGACTCAGTCTGCAACTGAAAATATGGATGGAGCACCCCAGTTTAGCTTGTTAGTTATTTGCGCTAGCGCTGAGCTACTATATATAAGCTTGCATCAGCACTAGCGCGAAGGCTAACAGGCTAAGCTGAGGTTCTTCTTCCATGAAGCAGCTCTGTTGTCCTCCATCCATATTTTCAGTTACAGACTGAGTCATTTCTACCTTCTCCTCTCTGTCAACGATCTCTGGTTTCATTTAAAAGAGCCAATCATCAGATATTGTCCAAGATTAACCTTCAGGGTGGATATAGCTCGCTCACACCGAGGACCTATCCACGTCATCATTTACCCAGAATGCTTTGTGTGTAAATAAAATGGCCCTGTCCGTGTTAAAATATATTTTTTAAAAAGTTACAAAACTATACAGCCTACAGTATTTTTACAGTCTTTATTTTACAGTAAAAATAAATGTTTATCAAATAAAGTCCAATGTTACACCTAATCATGGATCCCTTGAACAAATTCCTTATGAGATGAATGAAGTGATTCTGAAATAAAACTAATAAAATATTCATTTTATAAAAGAACTGCATGTTTAGACATTGAGACAATAAAATAAACTTAATTACTTTTTAATATTAGGTAATTTAAAAAACACGTTAAAACAAAAGCCTTTTTTGTATCACCTTTGTTTTTTGTAGATCCAAACTGATTTCTGATCATTAAGACTTGTCCACACGTCTTTCAAAACGTTTCTTTAAATTTGGTTTCTAAAAATATCCTAGTCAACACGTCATTGTTCTCATACACACAAATAATCAACAAACTACTCAAACGTAATTGTCGTCGCAAAAAGCAGAAACACGTTGGAATAATGCCAGAAAAGTCTGCGTGTATGATAATCAAATATGATTTAATTATGAGTGACAAACAAACAGAATTTAATCAGGAAGTTCTGTTTGCTCCGTCGTTGACACATCAGCGGACACAGCCAATAATATACACCATGATAACATCATATGACGTGCTTATAACCAATCACAGATCGCCCCATGTACTCTCCAGCCTATCACAGGTCTCCCAGCTCAAAGAGTGCCTTATCAAACAAGAGAGGTCAGTCCGTTGCGGAGTCCTGTTGTCTGGACAAACAGATTAACATTGAACGTGTGACACAGCTGTGCGCCATAACAGTAATCATGTAATTTATATCCATCAAGCTAGAGGATGTAGATTAGATTAGAGGTGGGACTGACATCATAGTTTTTAAACGTTTGGATCCATTGTCCACATGAAAACACAAAGATTGGCCGTTTTAAAGACTTCTTCACTCTGGATCCTTGTTTCAATAAATATCAGGGGCTCCTAAAATGCATTTTTGTGTGGATGCAAGGATAAACCTTTTGCTTGTTAACAAAACACTGTCATTATTATTATAATTTTAAATAATTGCTTTTGAAAGTCAGAACCTGTTTATAAATCCTGCAATGTCTTCTGATGAGCAGAAGTTCAAATTCAGCAGGAAGTTGATGATTTTGTCGCACTTGGAGGTGATTTCCTAATCCTGACCGGTTTCCATTTTCCTCATGACAAAAACTTAAATGTTACAAAGAAAAAGACCAAAAACAATGAGTGGCTGTTCTTTTTTCTCCAATTGTTCCTGATTCTCTCTTCCTGCTCATCTCTGTTCCTGGATAATGTGGGGTATAATTCCTGTATCTTCTATCCTCGTTTCAGCTAAGCATGGAGAAAGTCCAGGCCATGGCAGAGCAGGTGGAGATCAAGGCAAAGGTGGTGCAGACTGAAGTGAAGGCGCTTGTCCTGAGGCACAAAAAAGCACTGGAGGAGAGAGAGTGTGAACTTCTGTGGAAGGTGAGCTGATGCTTTTTACTCACTATTGGTTAAGTACCTTGCAGAAATAAATATATATTCTATTTACAAGGAACAACCAGGGAAAATAAAATATACTGTATATTTACATATATTGCACATAATGTATCAAAGCTTAAAAATAATCTCTGAGAGAGATTATATTATTTAAACATTATTTACATACGTTCTGATATAAATATATAGCAGAAAATCAGTATAAACACCCTTATTTATTTATTTATTTATTTATTGCAAATCCAAATTAAGTTAAATAGAAAACAAAATATTTTCCTCAAGGTAGTTTAACTTATAAGACGGTATGGTCTTAATAATAATAATAAAAATAATAATAATAATAATATACAAAATGATGAAAAATTGTGAAAAAGAAGCTTCAAAATGAAAAAAATTCTGCTGCATAAGATTTATAAGAAACTAGAAGCACTCGGAGAGTGCAAACCTCCGCCAAGACCAATTTCCCCCATCCTGTAATAAAGTTAATGTGCAAAAGCAGAGATGGAAACACATTTGCCAAATAAGTTCTGACGTAGCAAACATTTAAGCAGGCAGTATGCACGGAATTTCTTCCCGGTGGAGTCCAATGTGAAAAAATAAAAAATAAAGTCAGACTCGTCACACGACATTATTCATTGTCAAACTGGTGTCGGATTAAGCTCCCTAAGTTTTCATCAATCATGTTTCATCGTGTAAAACGTCTTGTTTTATCTCCTTGTATGAGTTTGTAATGGTTTGAGTCTCTTTATAAAGTGCTTCCTGGCTCCCCCGGTCTCCAAACTTTGAGGCCTGGCAGCTCTCTGTTTACAAGCCTAGTAGTGAGAAACTGTTTTGATTGGTTGTTTCGGAAATGTAGTGTGTTTGAGGAAATGGGAAAAATAGGTTTCATGGTGCAGTCACGCACTTCCTGGTCACAAAACGTTCTGTAAATGCGCATATTATGGCAAAAATTATTAAATCTGGTTTTAACATTACTTTTCTAAAGTTTGAAGTCCGTGCTGTCCAATCCAGCTCACTGTTTTTTACAGAAGCCCTATGAAAGCATCACAGCTTTGCCGATCTCAGAGTGTTAAAAAAAATTCCTGTATCCGCATCGTGATCCGGAACATCACCAAAATTTAAAGGTGTGTTCCTTGGCCCAGTAACCACGTGTTAAAAATGTCATGACAATCCGTCCACAAGTTTGTGAGTAATGTTGTCCACAGACAACAACCGACCGACAGACAGACATACGCGACCGAAAACATTACCTCGCCCTTGGCGGAGGTAACTATTAAAAATGGTAGAATAGAAAAATATTTGTTTATAGAAACTACAGAGGCAGATGTCCAGGATGAGGGGTAGTTTGAAATGGTCTCTTAACAATATTGTCATTTATTGCAATTATCCAAGACAACTTATCATCCTGCAAAATTTATTATCGTGACAGGCCTAGTAATAATATAAAACATAGAAAAAAAGGTGAAAACCTTTTATAAACCCACACTGCAATTTTTTTTCTGTGGGTGGAAACATTGTTTGCCTTTTTCTGTAATGACCATCTCTGAATACTTGTTAGCATGATTTACTGTCACATTCTCTGTGCTCGCTTTACCCTATTTGGACACCAAAATTTACGTACTGTATGTAGGAGTTTTTAGGATGGGTGGTGAATTTCTCATCGCCTCAATGGAGCCATAACAAAACTCTTGGTTCTGTTGAAATTACACACAGACAGCTAAAACACTGCCATGATGATTTCCACTCTAGATTTGATAAATGATTAAATACATCACTGAGAAATTTGTGACCCATTGAGTATATCAGAGACCTTCACATTTGCTTTAATAAAGACCCAAAGTGGGTTTACACTAAAGATCTCTGATTGTGTTTATATGAGGACATTAAAAGTAACAACATAAAGAAAGACCAGCTTTATAGTTACAGAGCTCAGGATAAACAATTTACAGGCTGTTAGCCCAAAATTAGAAATATCCTATCTGTTCTTTGAGGTCACTTTATCCTGAAAAGCTGAAAAGTTATATTGAGATAATCCTGGAGAAAATGTTTCCTAAGTCACTAAATGATCAGATTCCATTAGTATAAACAGTTGAGTGTATGTTGCTATAACTTCTGTTGTCCAGTAATTTCTTTTACGTTTGTAATTTCATGTTCAGATGAGCTTTTGCATGATTGGCAACATAACTGATGGGTAAAAAACATTCAGTAGCTACACTGCCAGCCTCAAATGGTTTTACAAGACTACATCCATTATCACTTCTTAATGACAACCTGGCGTCCCTGCATTCAGCTGCAACCTATTATGTGGGTTTGGAGTTATTGATGTGATGTACAGGAGTGTAACAAGACACTAATCTCACAAGATGAGATATGGGTCCACAAGAGGGATTGTAACATTTTTATTTATTTATTTCAGATTGACATCTCTCCTGTCTGATTTCTCATTATTCTAATCAAACCAGAAAATCTGTTTTTCTATATGTCTTACGTCAAAAACTTTCTACAGAATAATATAATTAAATTTACCTGATGTCTCATTTATCAGTCAGAATAGAGCTTACCTTTTATAAATAACAACGTTTTGCACCACTTTTATTGCTGGTTTTTAATAAAGAGCACAGCTCATAAAAACAGCTAAAAAATTGTCATTAAAATTCAAATAGCTACAAACATTTAACAATAAAATTATAGGAGAAAACAAAAAATACAAGCAGACGAGCTATGACAGGCGTTAATTGGGAACTCGCAGGACTGAATGAAGGACATTAGAGTGAAACTCTTTATCATGTGACGTTTAAATCTAAATCTTATGGAACAACTTCTAGTAACACCTTTAGAGTTGAAACACTGAAGTGTGTTGACTTCCTTTCAAGTCAGGCCTGTTTTACCTTCTTCCTGTTTTATGTTTGAAATTAGAGACTGAAAATAAAATGTTATTCACTGCTGGTACTTCTGAACTTGCATGGCAGTCACAGAGTATGGATATGTGAGGTGTGTAGGCACATGTAGCGCTACGTTTTAACCAACTACCCTCCTGTGACATCATAAAGTTTCTTTTCCTTGTGTTTATAAACAACATGGTTCAGAGCTGCCTCTGTTTGGCTGACACGACTTACCAAAATAAAACAGCTGTAGCTTTATAAAGGTGTCCTTTTCTAGAAAAAAAGCAGCTAGTGTGTAAAAAATAAAATAAAATCTTGTATGCACTACATGTGTCTAAAAGAAAACTCCAAATAAAGTAATCCATAGTACAGTTTTATCTGGAATGTTCTGTTTTAAGGTTCTTACTGGAACTGGTCATTTTAGCCCCATAAATCTTAGTGCAGCGTTTTATTATACCTTGAAGTCTCTCTCCATCTGGACCATTTTTCCGTTTCTCTTTTTAATTGTCTTCAGCTCAGGTGTAGAAGCTGGTGCGTTGAGCTGAACAGGCTCTGAGTCATGCAGGATACTGGGAATGACTCTTCTGGTGTTTTGGTGCGGTCAGTTTGATGGTCACCAGTCCTGCCGGGAAAACTGATTAAGCTGCTCCCCAGTGAGTCAGCGTTGTAATAACCTTCAGGTAGATTTGTGACTGCAGCGAGACGACTTACGGGAAAAACAGCCAATTTGAGAGTGATTCTAACTCACTCGTGTGTTGTCTCTATGTTGTGGTCCAATGAGTCAGGACTAATCAAAATACAGTTTTTTTTTATTAGTGTCAGATCAGTCGCCGTCCTAGTCTTTGCCTTCTGTTACAAAACTCATCCACTCAGTCGTTCCTCTCATTGATGTGGTCTTCTGCTGCCGACCTAAAACTAATTGTGTGTCCGTCAAGAAGCCTCACTGTGAGCCTTTGTGCTCTCCAACTATAAAATGTAACTCTAGTCCCACAAATGCAAATTTCAGTTTAAGATCTTTTGGATGCTTTCTTCTTTCAGAGTCCCTCCCTGACCAAAGAGCCGGTGAGGCTATTGTGTTGTACCCTTTGTTAGTTGATGTGAAGTGAGAGCCAGACTCAGTGCCTCAGGTTCTACAACCCTCCACCCTCTTTAAGGCTTTATACTCCATGACTCTGCTGAAAATTGATCCTGCTGCTTTAAAAGGAACAGATAGAAAAAAATGTGCTACAATTAAGTGATGAGTATTTTTTCTTTGAACAATAAGCTAAATGAAATTTGCGTTTTTCTATCTTAAAGTATTTTTTAAATTTAACATTTCCTTTTACCCTTGCAACATTGGAATAAAAATTTTATTGAAATTATTACATTTTACTCATTGCCTAAAATTCAGGTCAAACCTCATACCAGGGTAATTGAACCTCCAATTAATGATAATGATGAGTACAAGGGTGTGGAGATGGAAGTCAAATGCATGTGGAAAACAAAAAACTCGAGGTACACCAATTGTAATTGGAGCTTTAGGGACAATAAAAGGATGATGGTGGTCAGAGAGTCCGGTGGCGCCGGTGCATGGCAGCCTCGCTTCTGTCAGTGTGCCCCAGGGCAGCTGTGGCTACAGTGTAGTTTGCCATCATCAGTGTGTGAATGTGAATGTGAGTGTGAGTGGATGAATGTCTGTTAGTGTAAAGCGCTTTGGGTTCCGGAGGGACTTGAAAAGCGCTCTATAAGTTCAGTACCATTTACCATACATACGTACGTACCTACC